AATTCCGTGTGCCGCGCGATCTCTCGAGTCCGTCTTCTACCACACTCAACGGCCATGTTTTCATAAACAGCCCTTCCCACCCATTGTGCTGAAGCCGCCTAAGCAACAAGAAAGACACAGCGCGCGCGCGCGCTTCTGAGGTGCCTGGTTATTTTTATTTTCCAAAAGAGAAGTACAACTCCATTTTTTCAAGAAACACAACCGCCCGTAGATATATATACTCCCCTCTCCAATGCTCCAGACGGAAACGTCTTGTTCCCTTTGTGCAAAACCAAAAGGTCTAATCAAACAACCACACCCGCGGACGGCCTAAGAGATGGTTTTATTCCGGTGAGAGGGAAAACCTTTTCTCACGACCGTTTCCAAAACTGCCACCACGGCCGCTCCTCATGTCCCGCATGTCTCGTCTCGCGCTTGATCACTTGCTGGTCGCGGCCGCGGATGCGCCAAAAGTACACCGGCACGCCGGCGACAACGAATAGCACGACAGTGACGGTCTGTAACGGCTGCGCGAAGACGGCGCGGCTGAGGAGGAAGAGCGACACGCAGCAGAAGATGATGGGCGTCGTGATCCACGTACGGTACGGCCTGTCGAGCTGCGGTTCGCGGACGCGGAGGATGATGAGGCCCAGGACCGTAATGAAGTAGAACGTGTACCCGGCCACGCCGTAGAACGTCAGGAGGGTGCCGAACTCGCCGACGACGATGTACGCCGCCGTGAGCACGCCGTTGAGCACAAGCGCCCACACGGGCGTGAAGAACAGGCCCATGTCATCATCGCCCAGGGCACGGATCAGCATGTTGGCCACGCGCCCGCGCGAAGTGCGCGAGGTTTGGACGGAGTGGGAGTCGGATGGGGAGAGGCCAATGCGGCCGAACATGGAGGGGATGTACCCCTCCTTTCCGGCCACGTAGACGAGACGCGAGGAGGTGAAGGTGGAGGAGTTGAGGGCGCCGAAGCAGGATGCCGAGACGATGAGGGCGAGGACGAGGGAGCCCACGGGGCCGAAGACCTTGGCGCCGAACTGGACGGCGATCGTGTTGGAGGCGTTGACCGTCGCCAGAGGGAGGACGAGGAAGTACGAGATGTTGGCGAGAACGTATGAGAGGATCACAAGAGGCATCGCCGTGTGGATGACCCGGGGAAGATCACGGCTCGGGTTGCGGAACTCGCCGACGACGTAGTTTGTCTGCGCATGTTAGCAAAGGCGTGCCACCTCGGTGCAGGGAGAGAATCTTACGTTGTCCCAGCCGTCGTATGCCCAGAGACCGGCATACAGAGCGACGGCCCAGTTGGAGAGATCCGTCGAAGTGCCGGAGAACCACTCGTGCGTCTTCCACTCCATGTTGGCCTTGCCCGTCAAGGTGGTCCCCGTGATCGCGACTACAATGCCCGTGACGGTGACGCCCAGCAGGGCGACAAATTTCAAGAACATGAGCCAGTCGTTCACCTTCGTGCCCAGCTTCGTCGACACGCAGTTCATGAGCGTGACCAGAATCAAGCCCACCATGGCGACCGCCTTGTTGATCCACGGACTCAGGCTCTCAGCCTCTGCGCCTATCGCCGCCCTGACCAGGTACTCTCCCATGATGATGGCGATAATGGCCGCACTACCGGGCTTCAGAACCAAGACGGCGACCCACGTGAACAAGAACCCAGCCATCTCGCCCAAGATTTTCGCAAGGTAAACCTGCGCGCCGCCGTTCAGGGGTATCGCGCCGCCCAGCTCCGCATAACTCGCAGCACCTGTCCAAGCAAGCACGCCGGCGATGACCCAGACCACAAGGGCGGCGCCGGGCGACCCAACCTTGGAGCTGACCTGACTGGGACTGGAGAAGATGCCGCTGCCGATGATGAGACCGACAATCAGACTCAAGCCGTTCATGTAGGTGAGGATCTTGTGCTTCTCCAAGCTGCCGCCGCCAAGGCCACCGTTCTGTATCGCTGTCGAGGTCGGGGCGCCGATGGGGGCGTACCCGCCTGCCCCCGCGCCGGCGGTGGAGCTCAGGGGGAAGAGGTTGGCAGCGAAGTCGAAGCCGGAGGAGACTGAGTAGGAGCGGTCATGGCGATTGGGGCGGTTCGAGCTGGCGGCAGGATTCGCTGCGTCGAGAGGGTCTTCCGCCTCGAAGGAGAGCTTGCGGGAGGAGGAGATGGAGGGCCTCGAGGAGGGGATTTCTGAGACGACGGATTCGGCGCGGGAGGAGGAGGCAAGGGAGGCGAGCTCGAGGGAGTCGCGATGCGACTGGATGTTCGTGTAGGGCGGCATGACTAGGTCCGCGAAGGGGTTGTGGGTTTCGAGCGAGGAGAGAAGAGGAGGAGGACCGCGAGCGGCGATGCTCGACCTGTGAGTTCGTTCAAGCGTTCAAGGAGTTGCAGCGAGGGCTATTGCATGTTGCAGCGCCGACTTGTTCAGGGCCGGTGGAGACGGATCGCACGCAGTAGTCGCCTGCGCACGCAATGGTGTTTCGAATATTAAGTAGCGGTGGTTGGAGGAATTCGTCGTGACGTCGTTCGCATATACGTTTCGTTTAAAGGAGTCGTGACAAAGTTGCGCCGTACCCCGTTCTCTAATGCCCACTTTCCGAGTCCCCCAGAAGAAAATCAAGAGTCGAAAAAATCCAAGTTATCCAAGGCAAGCAAGCGTGTAGTGCTGTGCAATTAAAGAGACATGTATCGCTTTGGTGTCCAAATAAGATTGCCTCGGGCGCCGGGGGGGTTTAACAGAGAGGAGGTGTACTGATGTGGTAGTGTTTCCGTCCGGGTGTCGTCGGCGGTGGTGGTGGTGTTGAGTTACAGGTACGTATTTGGAGGAAAGGAGGTTAAAGAAAAATTGAGTTTGGCGCAAACAAAGGCGGTTCGGAGAATTGCGACAAGCGGCCAAGAATACTGGATTACGTTTCTTCTTTCAGCAATCCAGGATGTGCCGCCCTCTCAGAGCCTCAGATTCAGAAGACTGACTGGTCGGTTGCAGCAGTGGTTTGGTTGCCAGTCCAGTCCAGTCAACCAGTGTCTGAAAGGGACGAACGGGGCCGAGTCAAGCATTTGCACCCAGGCCAGAACCGCCTCTTGGCTGTGAGGTGGGCTCTGGGCAATCTCAATCTGCGACTGGGACTGCGCTGGCTCCAGGAACATCACTGAGGCCCCCATGTTTCGTGCCCGCTCAGACCCTCAGTGCCCTGGAACAGTGGCCCGGAACAAACCATGATTGGCTGCTGGTGGTTTGCACGGCAGAACCATCTTGGCGCCTGCCACCTGGATAAAGGTGTGGGGCGCAATGCCTCCTCCCGGCGCACTTCCGCTCGAGACAGGGGGGAAGGGGGCCAATTCAAGCCACCGAAGCCACTGAAGCCGCAGACCGAGGCGCGCCAGGGGTCTGCCTGCCAACACTAAAGAGCACCTAACGAAACCAAAGACAACTGAAAAGCAACCACACCTACGGAGCACCGCCGCCGGCCTGCAAACAAAACGAGCAACTCCCCGCTCAAGCCGCGGATCGGACAGAGCCAGCTCGGATCCGTTCCCCTCCCCTGCCTTCCGACTTCGAATACGCGCATCAGTCGTTTCTACGGATACCTGAACTCGAGCGCCAGCTGACCGACCAACGCCCGGTCTCCGCGCGAACGATGCCGATCGACGAGTACGCCTCCGTCGGCGGCGGCCTCAAGCTCAAGGGCGCCAAGGTCGGCAAGCCCAAGAAGAAGAAGAGCAAGAAGGACAAGACCGACCTGGAGAAAAACCTCGACGATGGCACTGACGGCGGCTCGGCGCTGGTGAAGCGCCGTTCCGACCAAGACGACGACAACAACAACGAGGAGGACAAGAAGGCCAAGAGGACGAAGCGCAGGAGTGAAGACCCCGAGGCAGAGGATGGCGACCACGAAGAGGATGGCAGCGGCGGCGGCGGCAGGCACAAGACGGAGGCCGAGCGGCGATATGAGGAGAGGAAGCGCAAGAGGGTACGTGTTTTTAATGATAACCATGATTCACTGTTGCTGGGCAAACAAATACTGACGACGATGTGTCGCCTAGCTCCTCGAACTTGCCGAGTCGTCCAGTTCGAGACCAGAACTACTCAAGACACACAAAGAGCGCGTGGAAGAGCTCAACACCTACCTGTCCAAGCTGAGCGAACACCACGACATGCCCAAGATTGGCCCTGGCTAAGGCCGTGGGAAAGGAAGGAATGTGACAGCAGCCATACGTGGGAGGCTTATTGAGGAGTTATCTGGTTTTTGGCGTTATGAATACCCGCGAAGTCTTGAAGAGGAAAATAGAACTGTGAGATGCAAAAGTGCGCCCACGCCGTTGTCTTGTTGTTTTAACTGCCACTGTTGCTGTCTCGCAAACCACCTTTGCTGTTCTAATCGCATCGAATGATTACGTGATGCCGTTCAAGGGCAATCAATACTCATCTCCAAAGGGCATGCGCACCCATTCCAGCGCCTTCAAAACAGTAGCGGAGTCTCACAAGTTTACCAGCTTCAAGCTGGAATGCGGGAACGCCCACAATCAAACACACATGTTCCAAACCATCATCAAATCATCGGCACGGCGCTGTCTCAAAACTTGAAATGTCAATTTTGATTTCATTCTTTTCTCCCCCATGTCTGTTGTTGCATGGGTCTGGTCTGCTAAGGACTGCCCTCAGGTGGAGTTGCTTTTCTTGTCAACACCTGTTTTCTTCCGCCGTACCGAGGCACTGTCCGATTTTTTTTCTTTCTCTCCCCAGCCTCCGTCTATTATTCTGCCTCCTCCCTTTCTGCAGGAAAGCGCATTGCCGCGCGAATTCTATGTTGTTGTGTGTTGTGTTGTTCTGCCCACCAGTTTGATGCAAGGAGTGAATAAGACCGTTGAATGTCGTGAGTAAGTAATGCTGATGATGCTGCTGTGTTTGCCACCCGCTCCGTTTGTACCGAGAACACCGTAATAAAGGAATGATTAACTATGTAAACAGAATAATCGTCTCAACGTGACGATGGTAATGTCGCTGCTTCTTTGTTTAAAGCAGGAGCATGGCGCCGGCGACGAATCCGGCGAGGGCGACGGGCACGCCGAACGAGACGCTGCCGATGGGGACGGCGCCGTTCTGAAGGCCGCCGCCGCCGCCGCCGCTTCCGGAGGTGGAAGTCGGCTCGGCGTCGGGGGCCACGGCGACGACGGAGGTAGCCGTCACGAGAACGACGTCGCCGTTGGAGGCGGTGGAGGTGAAGGTAGAGAGGACGTTGCTGAACGAGGTGGTGGTTCTGCGCGAGGAGGTCGCGGTGGTCGTCTCCCGAGTGTTTTGCTCTGTTATGAAAGTTAGCGCACTGCTTTTTCAATGTGATGAAACGGCCATGACTGAAGAAAGGTGGCAGGGAAAAAAAGGCCACATAGAAAGCTCCAAAAACGACCTCCGCCTTCGCTCGAAAACATGACTGTGCTACAAAACCACAACGCAACATACCAGATTCGGACACAGACGATGAAGGCGCACTCGAGGTTATGGGGGACGAGGATGTCACGGCCGTAGTAGTCTCGGGAGGAGAGGAGGTAGACGTACCCGACGCGGACGCACTCGTAGACCCTGGGGAGGCCGTAGTAGGTTCAGAAGAGGGGGCAGTAGAAGGGGAAGGGGGAGAAGAAGAAGAAGGGGACCCACGAGTCGTCGTCTGAATCTCAGAAGAGGCGGACGGCGGCCCGGCAGTGGTAGTAGTAGTAGTAGGAGCAGCAGAAGTAGCCTGCTCCGTTTGTGACGTACCAGTAGTAGGGGCTGCTGCTGAAGTTGCCGGTGTCGTAGTAGTCGTCTCCTGAGCCGGAGTGGTGGTGGTTTGAGGGGTGGTGGTCTCCTGCGGCTGCTGGGTCGTGGTCGTGGTCGTCTGGACGGCCGGCGCCTGAGATGTAGTCGTCTCTGCTGGAGCAGCAGATGTGGTAGGCTCAGCGGCGGACGTAGCCGGGGCTGAGGTCGGCGTGTTGGCCACAGACTCAGAAGTTGTGGCGGCTACACTGGCGGACGGCGTCTGGGAAGCCTCGGTAGCAGCAGAGGTCGTGGTGTTGTCCTGACGCTTGGCCAGCTGGAGCAAGGCAGAGGCGAGGTCGGCATCATCAGCCTGGACAGCCTCCAAAGCTTCCTTGTCAGAGGCGTATACGCCATCCTGGTACCTGTCTGGGAAGTAGGCATGGAGCAGTCTGTGGAGGAGATCGGCCTTGGCAGGGTTGTTGAGGTCTTCCTCACTGATCACAACCTGGGCTTTGGTGTGATGGTCCCTTGCACAAGGCATGCCCCGGTGACCGATGACTGAAGCAAGACTGAGGGTCATCAAGCCGCACACAACAACGCCGAGCAGGACACGGCGTGGGCCTGCCATCTTCTTGGTAGGTTCCTTGGACGGTCTGGAAATGGTGGAATCCCTCTTCTCGTCGACAGGCAGCAGTCCCTCTTCCAGGCGGGAGTCGTACTTGGTATCGGAGGCCATGGTAGCGAAAGAGACCGGTGGCCGAGACGTGAGGCGATATGGGTTGTTATAAGAGGGGACGAAGAGGTTCAGAAGGTTCTGCCCAAGACGGCAGGACGGAAACGACAGGGAAGATAACGTCCAATAATTGGACTCGGACGTATGCAGGGTAGAGTCGGTGACAAGATGCGGGCCTTCTTTTAGCGTCCTCACTGCTGCATGGCGGCGAAACGCAAAAAGATGTAAGAGAGGAGGAGGGGAATCAGACCCGAATGGTGGACTCGAGCCAGGAGGCTTGGGAGCTTTGTATATCCGTAGGTCACAAGCGGCCTCCGTTTGATGTGTGAGGGAGGGGCAAAAGACGATCTAAAGAGAACGATATGCGGTGGTACCTGGCTGGCCGAAACCCTTTATCGGTGGCTGGTGTTGAGAGTAGGGCCAAGGCTTGTTCAAGACCCGGCACGCTAGCTGAGGTCTACGAGGTGGATGAGGCACGCTCTTAGCTCACTTTTGAGGATGAGACTCTGCCGTCGGTGTTTATTCGTTTTAAAGTGGACGAATGCAAGCCTCGATTAAAATTTGACCTCGAGAACCCCAGTGTCTGACAAGGCGTTGAGTCTTCTGGAAGGTATGTACGCAGATTAGCGTGCTGGTCCGGCAATCTCACGAGGCTCGGACTGAGGAATGAGTCGAGATGAGCAGGCTGTTGATACGGCTTGGTGGGCGGCACGATCGGGTGGCGATGTATTGTGAATAGTACAGACGTGTCGTGTCGGCAGTGATGTATACGAGCGAGCGTGGTAAACAAATCAACAACAATCGCAGTTGCCGACAGACGGGAGCAATCGAGCGAGAGTATGGATGGCGAGAGACAAGATTGGGGGATCAGATGGAAAAGCGCGAGAGGCGAGAGTGAGCGAGGGGATTGGCGTTTAAACCTGTTGAAGATCGTCCCAGGCAGCCTACACACCTGCTGCGCGCTGCCGTCTATCCAGACGGCTGGGGGAAGAATCTTTGTGCTATGCATATCAAGATTCCCTGTTTCGCCGCGCCGGCGACATACCCCTGTCTTGTCGGCCCAACTCAGGTCGAGCTATCCGTCCCATCAGCTGCGCACCCATGCTCAATGGCCCACGGATAGCTCTTTTCTCGCAGACGGAGCCACGGAGCCACCGTTTGCACCCCTGTTCTCTCGACAAGGGAGCTTCTGGAGGATGAGAATCGGCCAACAGTCTTGCAGATTTCTCGCGGCAGAAGCCCCAATTGCCCCAGTGCAACCCCCCCTTCACCGTGGCCCAAATATTGAGCTTCCCATTTCATCACTTCATCCACATCTTCCATCACTCATCAACTCCCGTCCTGTGCACAGCGTCCGTTTTGCCAGGGAAGGCCGGTATGCGCCCCAGCGATCGACTGGCACGCTGGAACGGGTTTCCACCGAGCAACCGTCACCGCCGTCAGTCCTCGGTTCCAGTTTGATATCGACTTGTTCTTCTTCTTCTCAGGAATGATGTATTAGTGCAATCTGTAGACGAGGCCTTGTGCGATATTTCCTCGATTCCTTCGGGCGTGCCCTTTGCGCTAGGCATGTCTTTCCGCCCCTACCCACGACGGTACGGCGGCGGCGGCTGCTGATGTCCACTGTCTAAGTCCACTGGCTCACGCCCGGCGCTCCCGTCAAGTGGATTGTGACATCACTACAGCGAGCCTCCAAACACACCAGACACAAGAATCTCGTATCTGTTCTGAGGCATCGTCAGTCTGATTCAAACGTCCCACACATTCGCTCGCTGGACGAGCGCGGGTGAGGGACGCCGTGCTTTCAATACGAGTCGTCTGGTGTGCTGGTGTGCCATGTTCAGATGGACGGGCTTGTAGCATTCTGCGCCGCCGCAGAGTGAACACGTCTCCTCCACACACTGCCACATGCAGACTTGATGTTTCGTTGATCAGTCAGACCATGGGGGTTTGCTGGCCAATTGGTTCCCAGCCTGCATTGTGCTCCCTGGAGAGCTGACTCTCGGGGCCTGCACCCAGCCGCCTAGCGAACGCCCGGGGTTGGGCTTGTAGACTTCAAGTCTTGGTCTGTCTGCAGCTTGTCGCGACATCGTCCACGCTGTCACTGCATGCAGGCTGACTATTAACACTCGGTCTTCAGCTTCGCAGGGCGGGCGTTGAGTCTCATGATCTGAGGGAGAGTGAGAGGGGACATAAGCCGCTCGGCCTTTTCTGTAGTCCCTCATCTCAGCCCATTGCAAGATGGAGCCTCATCTTTCAAGCCCTCTTCAGCCCGGTTTGGGCTCGTAGGGAGAAAAGAGTGTTTCGATAATGTGACTCTGTCCCCCCTCCTGAACAGCCATCTTGTACCTGAGTCCGGCGTGGAACACGTCAAACGGCGAGGTGCAACTATCCAGAGCCCAGACGGCGGCAACAAGTATCCATCTGATCGGGTAGCACAGCACTGTCTTTGTCCTCCGTGGAGGTGGCTGTGATGGTTGGCCGTTTGAAGCGTTGTGCACCTGAAGCCGCCTGTACTGCGTAGGGTCAAGCAGCCCGTCAGACCCGTTTGACGTTCTGTTTGCGTGCTTGTGAAACAGCGAGTCGGCCGTCAGAGGGTGTACTGTCACCCTATCAAACCGAGAAACGGGTACAGACTGCATGCACCAGAGCTGTCACGATGGGGCCTTTGGGGGTCTTTGACAGAGCCTCTCGTATTTTTTGACTTTTTTTTTTATCTTTTGCCCATGCTCTGTTTGGAGCAGTGGCCCTGTGCTGCGGTTTCTCCAGCGTAACCCCCAGTCTCTGGCAGCCAATCCCCAAGAAGCTGCAGGGACCAGGCGATACGAGATTTGGCCTCTCACGAAAACGGATGAGGACCCTCCTCTTGGGATGGGGCATTCGCAGTCGAGCAGCCGAAGGCCGGACGACGACCCTATTCGCCTTCATTCGTGGTGATTCGTGGGTGTCGACGCACGCTTCGTGGCCCGCTAAGGCATCCCGGAGCTACCTTAGCGGGAGGCGAGATGTTGAGGCAGTGAAGGCAGCTCCCGACCGGTAACTGGCCGGGCCACGGAGAGAATTGAAGATGGTGGGCTCCGGATTGGGAAATGCTCTGCGACCGAGCAGGCCCGGCCCCACGATCTGGTGTTGTGGCTTGCAGCTCCGATGGACAGTTATTTTTGGCAGGCCTGCCGTGCTTGCGACGACTCTCGGCGGATTGTGCAAGCCAACAAGAAGATGCGACAGCGGCGATCGCGTTGAGGTTTTCGACTGCGCGACGGAGAATTGAAATGAACGACGGCGAATTGAATTGAAGTCATGAACCGACATGCACTCCGTGGTGTGCCTTGTTTGTTATGGGTCATATGGCGGGCTCCGCGGTGTCCAGCGGGATGCGAACTGCTGCCCAGCTCCAGTTTTCGAAATATTGGAAGAAGCACTGGGAACCTTCGGAAGATCAACAGGAACTCCCCACGATATCCAGTATTCCAACAGCATTTCGTCAGCAGTCCACCGTATTCCAACTCTGATGAATGGGCTCGGTCGAGGCTGGACTCTGGAGCCAGGCCTCGACTCTACTCTGCCATGGAAAGGCATGGTTGAAAAGGTTTGACAGATGCGACTCCCAGCCAGATGAATCGGTGCCAAGACCGGGCGGATGCCGAGATGGCCATGGCTGCTGGGCTGACGTGGTCAATTGAGTTTTTCTTCCGTCTCTTGGAGGGCTGAATGATGCTTTCTGGCCCTTGGCCTGTGCTCGTTGTTTTCGTGGTGCGATTACTTGAAAATGACATGGTGATGGCGACTGTGTTGTGTGCCGTTGACTAAAAGGCCGGGCAATGCCTGCTGGAATTCGCAATATCCGGCGCATTGCGGTCGCAAATTGGGTGTGCGCCGGCCTGGACACTGTAGATGAGGTCACCAGCGTCTGGGATGGTGTCGCATGAGTGTCTTCATCTGGCGAGAGGCAGACGGCTGTTGACTCTCGACTTTCGAGTTTCGACAACAGCCACAGGTACCTATCGTCAGCATCGCACCATGATGAGTTAGTTGCCCGATAACCATGGAGCGGTCTTCTTGGTTGCTGTTCGGTCCCGTGTCGGAGCGTTAGGTAAGCTGCGCGGCTTCCACCTGCTCTGGGAGGGGCGAAGGAGGCTGCGCCAAGGGAATGAAGTCGCTGAGCCACCGCGGTGATGTTTGTATGGTGTGGCTCGCCCGACCGTGCACCGTGCCCCCTCCCAGTGCGTCGTCCACTGGGTTCCGGTGGGGATTTCTCGCGGCGGTAGCCTGTCTTCCCGCGCCCGGCTGCCCGCTGTCACTGTCGTCCACAGGCTGTCATTGGCGTGCACAGCGCTGTCGCTGTCCTGCCCAGCCAGTCGCGTCGGCGCATCTCTCCCTGGCCGCGCGGCTGATGGCTTCCCAACACTGGCCTCCACGGGAGAATGACAACACGCCTGTCTAAGGTAATCCATAGTGTCGCTGGAAGTGGTCCTCACCTCACCAATTTGGCACTTTCATGTGATGGAGCTCTCTCCCCACAACCGCCTCGTCGCCGCCAACTTGTCCCCTCCACGCCTGCATTTCCAATCCGCTGTGGTCTGACGTGTGAAAAAAACAACCGCGACAACATCAACAGCTTACCAAATACTCCCGGTCCCTGATTGACGCCCGGATTCCGCTTTGCGACCTGCGAGCCGCACCTTCTCCCTTAGCGCCATCCTCGTCTCAACCACGCTCCCTTCCGTCTTTCCATGTTGCCTACCTAGCACCACCACGGCTACCGTCAATCAACTCCACCGCGCCCACGCCTAGGTCGGCTTCGTCTTTCTCGAATTGATGCTGCCCTCGCGGCACTCTCCGATGCGATAGCTTCGCCATGCCCGAGCATCTCGCACCAAATGCTCTCTTCGGCCACGATACAGAAGACAAGGATGAACTCCGAACCCTCAGCCGCTCTCCCCACCCCTACCATCACCTTAACACCGAGCTTCCTCATCCTGCCCATCGCATAGTATACCGAC